TCATCAGTGCGCACCCACCGGGACTCGAGCCCAGGACCTTGTGGTTACAAGGCGAGAGATCTTTTGGACCACTGAGCCACTGAGACCCAATCCAATGACCCATGAATTCTAACTTCTGCCCATTCACAACATATCGCGACCATTTCTCAATGTCTTCTTCGATGAGTTACTGCCTCATCTTCAACCTGCTTTACCCTAATGGACACGAGTACATAATGAAATCCTCCATCTAATCAAACAAAATCCCTACAAAAACCAATGCTCGAAGCATCCATTTTCGCAAATTATTCAATGAGTATTCAGCACTTATGTTCATCTCCCACTAAGTCTGTCCTACTTGGTACTTTTCTACATTCAGAAATGTAGATACATTCTCCAATTTCCGAATATCATTTGATTTTATTACTGAAACAGTAAAAACACTTTTTGAAGTCAGCTCATGTAGACTTTAGTGGACGTTGCTTTACAGTAAGTCAAAGAAAAATCTTTTTTTCACATCTGATTTCTTTGTTTTGTGATCTGAAACGAACAAGTGAAATACACCAGTGATCTTTATCATTATAAAAATGCAACATGCAATTTATTATACTCTTCATGAGTGCTGCCTTTAAGTACACAGAGTTAATTTAAAGAAACACCAGCTACATTTTACGCGATAAGCTTCAATCAGCTAAGGTACAAAGCGATCAAATGCATTCCTACTTATGTCTGTCTTCTTCATCAGCCAAACAGCTTTTAGTGTTCTATTAACTAGCCTGTAAAAAGATTTTCACACACAAAACATATTTATGTTCACAGAAGAAGATTTACCTTCAAATTAGTGGTGATAAACGAATAAATTCCACTACTTCTGAAAATAAGATAAAGTGTGAAGAGATTAACTTACTTTTTCATTGGGATTTTATTTCATTGCAGATGTTAATATGGAGGATGGAGGCGTTTTCCTCTGCGAAGCTGTTAACATGTACGGTAAAGTTAGTCATTCAGTAACAGTTGAAATTGGAGGAACTAGTAAGTTTCTGATATTTATTTCTTATGATATTTTGCTTAAAAAAGGGATACTGTACCAAATATTTCACTTTGGGATAATGTTTTATAATCACTTGTTTCTACTGGCAGCTATTCCTTGAATATTCCCATTATTAATACTTGAACAGGAAATACAAGCTAACACTACTGTTTTCAGTTAGATCTTCAGAATTTGCCCTAGTTTATATGGCTTTATACGTAAAAAAAAATAGCCAATGACGGTGAGTTTGTGGATCAGATAATGATAATACTAATGCTAATAGTAAGTGTTAAATGTTTTGAACACCAGCAATAACGACGATTATAATGATAACAAAATAATGATAATAAGGTTTATGCGGGTGGAGATAAGAATAACGAAAGTAATAAAACGTGTATTTGTAGACAATTCAATAATTAAGGTCAAATCTGAAAATTAAAACAACTAGTCCCTTAATTAGTGGATGGTGACTAGCACTGGAATCCAGGATGTGCATTTCGTCCTATTTGGGACTCGTTATCTGGATGTACCTGCATTCCCCAGTGAGTGATGATGTTCCCACCGAGGCTCGGACCCATTGCCCATAGTTTCAAACACCGAAGCGTTATCCACTAGATCACTTGGGCCACGAGAGCATCTGCACAAGAAGCCGACATGTCAACCTGAGACCAAGCACTTCGGTCCAATCAATCGACGGGAAAATCTAAAATTCAATTAAGTAATTAGTCCCTTATTCAAACAAATCTAACAAGTTACGTAATACTAAAGGTGAAGTGGACAAGTAATCAAAGTTTAAATAAATATCATAAAATTACGAAGGAAATGGAAAATAAGAAAGGGTGGGAGGGTTTTGATTAGAATTTACCTAAGCCAAGGGAGGGAAAAAAGTAGAACAAACTTCTTCTGTATGCAAAGATTAGGACTGTTCTCTCAAATGAATTCCCACAGCTTCGGCTGTGTGTAAAAGGTGGGTTCGAATTCCATTCGAAAGGCTCGATGGAATGAGATGGATAACTTTGAAGGCACATCTTCTGTCCATGAGTTTTTAGTATCTTTAAATAGCGAAACTTGATACTTCCCATGAGAACTGTTGATTTCTGTTTTCTTTCTTTCACTGTGATGCACTTACCAGACATTAACTACTAATCAGATATTGTTTGAATTATGGGTTTCTCTGTGTGACAAAAATAATATAAACTGTCAAAAAATTAATAAAAAGATTAATACCAATGGATGAGCAAAAAGTGTCTATCTGTAAATGCCAGACTCAATATATGGTGGAATTATGGGTACGCAGTGCTTGATGATGGAAAACTAGCGCATGACACTTGGTTTTCAGTAGTTTGCTGAGTGGTAATGGTTTGTGATAATACCTACGTTGAAATCAATGAAGGCTGCACAGACTCAACACTTCGGTATTAGTGATTTTCTTGAAGGTGGTGGAATGTGACTCACTTACTGCAGCATTATAATAAAGAGAGCAGACCTTCGGTCCAGTAAATGAAAGAACAACTTTAGAAAGAGTCACCTTGTGAATTGTGAACGTACCAGTTTCAATGTGAACTGGTGTTTGTTAAAAGGTTAACTAGGCTGATTACAAAGAACCGGTGGAATTTTTCAAAACCTGCAGATTAGTACGCAATTTGGCAAAATAATTCGCAATTTACACACTTCGAGAAGATGAAGTCTTCCTACAGTTATTATTATAATATTATTATTGTTCCCTTGGGTTCCTAGTGGAACATAGGGCTTCAACTGCACGTCTCCACTTATTTCTGTCTTCTACTGTACTTTTCACTTGCATCCATGTCAGTCCATACTGTTTCAGCTCCTCTTCACACGATCTCCTCCATGTCACTCTTGCACGTCCCATTCGCCGCCGCTTCCCTTTCGGGTTCCACTCGAGCTATGGCCTGACGCGCGATGTCACCCAGTGGCCTCCTCAGCGAGTGTCCAATCTATCTCCACTTTCTCCTGCATATTTGTTGGGCGATTGGTTCTTGTTTTGTTTGTTCCCATAGTTTTTTCTTGGTGATTCTTTCTGGCCATCTGATCTTGAGTATAGAACGAAGACAGTTGTTGTTGACAAAGGTGTGCAACGGGCTGTTGGAAATATTCTTTGTGATCCACTGACCAAGTTTCTGATCTATCCGTATAGAAGAACTGATTTGAAGTTTGTATCGAAAATCCGAATTTTGTTGTTGATGCTGAGTGACGAAGATTTCCAGATTGGTTTCAGGTTGATGAATGTGTTTCTCGCCTTCCCGATTCTCGATTTGACATCCTCGTCCGTCCCTCCTGTAGTTGAGACAATGCTCCCTAGATAAGTGAATGAAGTAAACACTGGGACCCAAAATCCAGATTATTCAGATCACAGTATGCTACCTGCTCGATTGCATGAATGGTAATCAAGAAAGCAGGCGTAAATGGATAAAACCAGATACTATTGATTGAATTAAATCAGTAGTTTCATAACACACACATCAACCAGTAGTGTTTGCTAATTACCCATCTGAATAATCTCGGCTTTCATAGGAAACTGTAGTGAAATATTCAACTCTAAGTGTGTGAACTACTAAGCAATTTCCACATCAGCAAAATAATTCATGAATTGTAAATTTGACTTATGGTACAACATAGATCTCCAGCTAGTCAGAAATTGGTTGGTTTGAACTGATTTGGTTCTTTGAGCTCAGTCAAAACCGAGTACACCGCTGATGATCTCGGCCCTACACGAGAGAAACGGCTGTCCGGTGTTCAGATCACTTTGATATGGTCAGCAAGCATTATTGGTCAATGCGAGTGCCATAGGACTACTCATCTCAATCAATCAATCAATGGTGCATAGTTTTGTGGAAATAATCTAGTCATCCATAAATTTCATATTTGTACTCCATTTGAAATGTGTTCGCGCACAAACAGCCACGATCATGATAAGATATTGTATTTTATTAGTTTTTCATTCAAAAAAGGGAATTTATTTAGAAGGAGAAGAAGAATACTCTTCACTCCTGTCGGCATTTAACAGATGGTGGAAAGGTATTCAAGTTACTTGAAATCATATAACTTGAATATTACGTAATACATACACTTGATTTCTTATTATCCGCTGTGTTTGTAGTCACATCAGTTAAAAAGTGATACGGATCACTTTTACTTCGTTTTATTAAAATAAACTGAATTTTCATAAAAGTCATTTAACAAGGCGGTTTGTTTGGAACAGTTATTTTCATTGCTCCGGTCTAAATTTTATTCTCAAGTCCACTTAATTGTTCAGTCAATCAATGACTTGATCACTTACAAAATCAGTTCAAGTGACGAAACTAATCTTCATTATGCCAGACCTTATGACAGAGTACTAATAACCCACATTTAATGTTAGCGTCAAAGATGTTGTGCAGAAGGTTACTGAAGAAACAGGTAACCCAACAACAACAAAAAACATTCACCCAAGCTACAATTCTTCTCCAGAATTCCATAATCCGCTATAAAAATATGGACGGTGATACAGCATCATTTACTGAATGACAGCATTTTGGACACAGTTCATTGGCTATCGTCTTATCAGTACAATTGCACAATTTCTAATTACTGCATTGTTTGGTTCCTTTTTATTTATTTCATTGACAATGAAATTTTCTAACTTCTAAAACAAAGAATAAAGGAACTGGTAAAATACAGTGTCGAAGATTACATAACTCTATTGATACGATTATAAGTATCAACAAATAATCGATAATACACTCGAATAAACATATTCAGTGTGAAATTACATTCTTCTAAAGTTCACTAAGCTTTCCTTATATTAATCATGGTCTAAACTAGATGGTCTCTGGACATGCAAACACAAACACACACCTTCAAATAAGCACACTACAATACCTGTAGTAAAATTCCTAGCTAAATTATGGCTAGTTTATGACTACGTTTTACCCTAATACTAATCTACTGGTTTTATTACTCTCCTCTTCACTCTTGTTTATCTGATTAGAAGCTCCATCGATTTCATTTACACAACCTAAACAACTAGTGCTACTGGGTACACCAGAGAAACAAATCATTTGTAATGTACTGGATGCTAAACCGGCTGCAACTGTAATCTGGTTAAAAGATAATCAGCCAATCGATACAAGAACAAGTGATAAATACTTTCTGGATGGATTTAATCTAATCGTTCGTGATATAGAAGTAAGTTAGCCTAAATTATAGATACATGTATGTAAGTCTTATGAAAACATATGCCAAAAACAAAACAACCGTTGTTGAGACAGTGGTGATGATGATGTAATAAAAAAGTAACATACTGATAAATTAGCTAAAATTAGTTGAAACAACTGTTTACTACTCTGTGCGTTTATTAGCCGTTGTGTAGCCAATATTGACTTGTATTGTAAGTATATGTTAGCCTACCAGTTTAGTGTTTTTCTACCGAAAACTTTATATAATTCTTCCCACTAATAAACTTGAAGAAAGCAAATGTAGCGTGGTAATAATAGCTAATCTATTTTTTCGTGGTTCCTTTCCAACTGGCTATGAGCTCTCTGGGAGCGAACCAACCAGGAACCGATTGTCAAACAAATAGGGAGGAAGAAATGGAGATGGATTGGCCATACTATGAGGAAACCATCGAGTGACATCACTAGACAAGCCATTACTCGAGTGGAACCTGAAAGGGAAGCGGCGAGTTGGCCGTCAGTGCAAGGGTGACTTGGAGGAGGTCATGTGAAGAGGAGATGGAAGCGTGTGGGCAGACATGGAGCCAGGTGAAGACTCTAGCAGAGAACCGAACGCAATGGAGACGCACGGCTGAAGCGCTATGTTCCTCTAGGAATTAAGGGAAACAATAATAATAATGATGAGCTAAGTAATACAAGAAAAAACATTACAAAAGGAAGGTTGAACATAATTTTTTCGAATCAATAGGGAGCAACTAATAAGACCTATAAGTAATATCACTTCAGAATGATGTAAGCAGTTACCATGTTAAGCATTAAAAAGACAGTTAAACTTTGATTTTAATATAA